GCCTACCTGAGACTGAGACACCCCTGTCAATCATCTCTATGATTCTCTGCCTACCTATGATGGAAGATTCCAGTCACTACATGTGAAAGATAGATTCTTTCACCTACTAACTCCTCATACATACTAGCGCACTCAGAACAAGCTGGGTCTTCGAACTTTAAATGACACAAGAAAATGTTCACAAAATGTTACAGTTTTGGAACAGCTAAACTAAAAACCAAAATAAAAGTCAACTAGCTCACGAATGAACAACAAACATGAACTATTTATGTAGCCAGTGAACATGTTCATACTACAGGCTTTCAGTGAATGTACTGTTGGTCCAGGAAGGGTTAATGTTTGGGCCCTGTGATCTTACTATTGTCTATTTGAAGACTGCCATATCTGTGTTAACCCTTCACCCTGTTAATGCTAAAACAATTTAAAAAAAAAAAAACCGGACGTTTGCTATGGGAACTCCAAGAAAACATGGTTTTAAAAACCCATATTACACAGGTCACTAATACATTTTTAAAACTATTTATATCTAAATACATAAAAATAAATAACAGGGTAATCAATAAAAATTAACAGAGTAAAGAATTCCCTGGGGGCTTTAAATAAAATTAAAAATTAAAACACAATTACTTAGGTACTCGTGTCATGACCCTGTGACCTATATCACTGAGGTATACGGAAACATTTGACATCAACTTGGCTTTAAAATAAAAGCTTGGTGTTATAAAGAAACCTCCTGGCCTATTAGACACTGCAGACTTTAGCTATGCTTTTCGAGAACAGGACACTTCACACATGGCGCTCTATCAGCATTTATGGGACTGTGCCACAACCGAAGGTGGCTAGATTAATTTTTCTTAGGCTGACAAGGTTAATAACTGAACTTGGACTCGGATAACTGACTTCAGCTTGACACACACTGTCAAAGTATCTCATTAGCTAGGTAAAGGTAAAGTCGGGAGATGTGAACCAGCGTCATTGCACACGGTTATAAACCATAAGTGCTCTGCCACCAGTACTGACAGCTGATAAGAATTGTCCGCCTGTGTCGCTGTTCACACGTAACTCTGTAGCTACAGCGACATTCTTCCATTTACCCCAGAGTATCACTCTGGTACCCATTTCCTAGAGGCTGGGTGAACCCCGGGAGCCGCCCGGTTTTGAACACCGACCGTGGGCTGCGGCAAGTTGCAGCTGGATTTGAAAGTGAGCAACTTATCGACTGCGCTAACGTGGCCCCTGATCTCATTAGCTGCCACTTGGGAGCAGGATTTGAACTGTTATTTCCTAATCTTCTGCTGTGACTCGTCTTAAATGACCAACACCTGGCTCTCTTACAAAGCTGGTAGTTTGTCTCATGTGCAGCCCACTTCGAGAAGGCCATGTTACTTCAGTTGGAATTCTCAAGAGCTAGATAAATCCTATCCTGATATAAGGAAGGGAATCATGGACAGCTGTGTGATAAGTGAACAATTATATGGAAAAAGCGGAGGTGTGATGTAAAAGATGAGTACACACTGGACAGAAAAAAATGAGTGAAGAAGAAGTCTTGAAAGAAACTAGACAAGATGATGGACAGTTTGAAATGAAAGATCATCCATGTCAGAAGTGATTTAAAGTACATGAGACAGAAGATTGTGAATAGACATGACTACCCAATGCCACACAGTATGGAAGATCATCTGTGTCAGAGCTGACTAAAAGTACATGAGATAGAAGATTGTGGATAGACATGACTACCAAATGCCACACAGTATGGAAGATCATCTGTGTCAGAACTGAATAAAAGTACACGAGACAAAAGACTGGATAGACATGACTACCAAACGCCACATGGCATGGACTACAAAAAAAAAGACGGGATTCTTAAGCTTGAAGATTTAGGGCCATATTGTTATGGCAGTGGACAAGACTCAGATTTTATTTTGTTCATAATTTACAACCAAATATCATGCTATAATCTATAACCAGATACAGACAACAGACTATAATTTGCAACCACATATCATGCTATAATCTATAACCAAATACAGACAACAGACTATAATTTGCAAGCAAATATCATGCTATAATCTATAACCAGATACAGACAACAGACTATAATTTGCAACCAAATATCATGCTATAATCTATAACCAGATACAGACAACAGACTATAATTTGCAACCAAATATCATGCTATAATCTATAACCAGATACAGACAACAGACTATAATTTGCAACCAAATATCATGCTATAATCTATAACCAGATACAGACAACAGACTATAATTTGCAACCAAATATCATGCTATAATCTATAACCAGATACAGACAACAGATTATAATTTGCAACCAAATATCATGCTATAATCTATAACCAGATACAGACAACAGACTATAATTTGCAACCAAATATCATGCTATAATCTATAACCAGATACAGACAACAGACTATAATTTACAACCAAATATCATGCTATAATCTATAACCAGTACAGACAACAGACTATAATTTGCAACAACCACAAAAAAAAACATCAACTCAGAAACTACAACAAATTATAGCACTGGTCACAAACACTTTATAACAGATTTTCTCCACCTGTCGGCAACCATGATGGATGCTAGTGTAGTACAACTATCTGACTGCTACCTATCTTTTAGCCAGACATTTCAGTTTTGTGACCCAATTTTTCATTCAACCAGTCCAAGCTGTCTTCTGTTTGCCTCTGTGTCACTCACAAACACTCTGACCACACTACAAGGGCTACCAATTTCCTCACAATTACGCATCAAAATACATTTTCAAGTGTCTGCTTAAAAGCACCAACACAGCCCAATTTTCGGCATAAAAACATCAACACACCCCAATGTTCTGCCAATAAAATATCAACATCGTGAAATGTCCTGCTCTCAAAACATCTACAGTCATGTCCAACTTAAAAAACATTAACTGATTGCAATTTCTAGCTCACAAAACATCAACTGACTACAATGTCCATCTCACTTAACATCAACTGACTACAATGTCCATCTCACTTAACATCAACTGACTGCAATGTCCAGCTCACAAACATCAATTGACTGTAATGTCCAGCTCATAAAACATCAACTGACCATAATGTTCAGCTCATTAAACATCAACTGACCACAATGTCCAGCTCATAAAACATCAACTGACTCCACAATTTCCAGCTCATAAAACACAAATTGACCGCAATGTCCAGCTCAGTAAACATCAACTGACTGCAATGAACAGCTCAAAACACATCAATTGATTGCAATTTCCAGCTCACAGAACATTAACTGACTGCAATATCCAACTCCCAAAACATCAATTGACCGCAATGTCCAATTCACAAAACATCAATTGACTGCAATGTCCAGCTCACAAAACATCAATTGACTGCAATGTCCAGCTCACAAAACATCAATTGACTGCATTGTCCAGCTCACAAAACATCAATTGACTGCAATGTCCAGCTCACAAAACATCAGTTGACTGCAATGTCCAGCTCACAAAACATCAACTGATTGCAGTGTCCAGCTCACAGAACACCAATTGATTGTAACATCAACTGACTGCAATGTCCAATTTCTAGCTTACAAAATATCATATCAGAAACACAAATACCAGCATAAATTTAACAGAGCTACACAGCTGATATGGTTGGTACAGGTCAAACAAAAGTCCAGCCACCAGCTGGGTAGTAACATGTAGTAACATGTGGACAGAAAAGCCACAAAGTAACAGACTGGCTCTTGAAGCCTGGTAAGAAAACAAACGGACACAGCACTGCACACAAGAAACAGTTGCCAACTGTGAATTTCCACGGGCTAGGCCTTATCTGTTAGTGCTTAACTACAGAGGGAACCACCATGATACAACGCCTGGCTTTCCTAGGTGGTTTTGGCAGGTCCAAGTCCAGTGTACTGGGAATCTATTGTCCACCTAATGTATGCCTCACATCTGTTCCCATTACTGTCTGGTTGCTCACAAGGTTCAGCATTAATCATACACTGTTGCTGTCCCAACAGCTGATCTGGCTCAAACTACTGCTGGTATCGTTATTCATCCCAGGCCACTGCGACATTACAGAAAAGTTTAGAGCAGAGTACTTATCCAAAATTTGAAGTCATACACAACAGCCAGATACAGCATGCCCTTATGAGGAGAATTACATCCAGATCAAGGCAGCGATTAGAACATTTCCTATCCAGAATACAATCCTAAGATGCAATCAATCTCCTCACAGAAAAGAAACAAACCTCAACAATTCGTCTGCAAATTGGACGTAACAGCCTATTTGTACCAGAAACTCAAATTCTTCATTTTTTCCTCATAACCCAGTTCCACCATTTGTTTCCCAGTTTCTTCTACCCCAGTTCCACCACTAGTTTCCCAGTTTTGTTTATCCCAGTTCCAACATTTGTTTCCCAGTTTCCTGTCAGCCTCTACAGTTCCTTCTAGCCCAGTTTCACCATTTGTTTCCCAGTTCCTTCTATCCCAGCTCCACTATTTGTTTCCCAGTTCCTTCTAGCCCAGCTCCACTATTTGTTTCCCAGTTCCTTCTATCCCAGCATTTGTTACCCAGTTCCCTGTCAGCCTCTACAGTTCCTTCTATCCCAGTTCCACCATTTGTTTCACAGCTGCCTGTCAGCCTCTACAGTTCATTCAATCACAGTTCCTTCTATCCCAGTTCCACCATTTGTTTCACAGTTCCCTGAGAGCCTCTACAGTTCCTTCTATCCCAGTTCCACCATTTGTTTCCCAGTTCCATGTCAGCCTCCACGGTCCCTCCTATCCCAGTTTTTTTTTTTACTAGCCTGTACTTCAGACTCAAACTGCTCCTTTCTCAGACAACCAATCAAGTTTTGAGCACCTGGGATGAGGAAGTTTCCCTGAACAATTTACACACATGCTTTTGAATTTATATCTGTATAACTCCAGCAGAGACAGCATTCCAGGAAGAAGTCTGTCAGGCTACTTTGAGCCGACTGTCCCACTCCTGTTGGTAACATCACACTTGTGTCCCATCTGGTAAACCCGGTCGAAGCACTATGGGTGTCCGTGGTGCTGGAGGCCTCTTGCTGCTTCCTAGACCTAGGGGTGGGGTGCTGCGAGACTGAGGCGGAGCCGCTGGGAACATGAGGATGGAGTGGCTGTCACTACTGGAACTCCCGATACTACCGGACGCCTGGGGAAGAGTCAATGGATATTTTTTTTTACTGTGGATGTTGTGTGGTTTTAGTGTGTTTCTTTTCACTGTCTTCATCTGGATGGCACAGTAGTTAGTGCAGGGGCTTACCAACAATGGTCAGTGGTTCAATGCCCTAGTTACCAGGACCTGAATTTGTGAAGTAAAAAGAATAAACCCGCTGCCCCGTACCAAGAAGAACACCATAAGAGTCGACTATCAGGGGTTTCCATCAAAGTCAGAGTGCGTCTGCCTGAGAGGCATGGAACCAACATTCTGCACACACAAAAAGCCAGATCTGTAAAATAGATGGGCATGCACAACTCAAGTTCTAGAACGAGACCAAAGTCCAGAAGTGAGATGGATAACCAAAACATTCCCCTGGAGTTTACAGCCGGTGAACTTGAAGAAGAAGACAATGCCCCAGGGATAGAATCTGCTTCCTGGGGTTTATAAAACAAGTAGCCCCTGGATAGTCTAATGAACACAGCAATGACCACATTGATGCCTGCAAGTACCACTGTTCCATCATGGACAAGACATTTCCAAATATGTGACATCTACAATTATTCTGCATTTTATCAAATAAAGAACATATTATGCAACAAATCATGTCACTGGAGGCTAGAAAAAGAATTCTCACAAGCTACATAAAGCCAGTTTTAATATATGGCTGTAACTCCTGGACAATTAATAAACAAGCCAAACCATTTCTTAAGACCACAGAGCTTTCTCAAGACTGTGTTTATCTGGTTCATGTATGCAATATATCATGGAGATTCCTCAGGACTGTCACCCTGAGATATGGAGCTTGTGTATTGTGTATTACTTTAGGCAGGTGTGTAGCCGTTCTGCTGAGATGGAGTCATATAAGATTAAACTCGGTGCAATAAAGTCGACCTGAAACATCTAGGAAGGAAATGTGATGAAGGAACTGGCTATCTCATCTAACATTTCATGACCTAGTATATGTGAACGATTACCTTATCTATCTAATGGGGTCCAATCTACCTAAGGGACTTAAAGTCCAACACAGCTTTCTTTTTTATTTTAGAGTTATGACCTTTGTCTTCCCCATCCTTTCTGGCTAGTATTCCTTTCCTGTACTCACTGCAAGCCTCAGAGCTTCAAGTGGCCAGACAGGCATATGGAAGACCTCCGTTAAGTGATTTTCTGTATTACTATTGTAGTGTAACACTGTAACGTTCACTTGTCACCTGTGACAATGTGAAGACGACTAGTTCTAAACACTGTCTGCTTTGATATCTTTTTATTTACTGGATGATCTTCAGTATTCACATTAAGAGAGGTTAAATTGACCCTGGCTAATGTCTGCAGTTTAGTTTGAGTTGAGTTTGAAGCACTGACATCACAGCACCCAAGGTATTCACATATATGCTCCGTCCCCATCTTCAGCAGCCAATGAAGAGTCCCAACTCGATAGTACCAGTAGTAATCTATGTTTGAGTTGAGTTTAAAGAACCGACATCACAGCACTTGGGGCATTCTCATATACGCTGCATCACTATCTTCAGCAGCCAGCGAAGAATCCCAACTCTGATGGTACCAGTAGCAAGTCTGATTGTATGTTTGAGTCAAGTTTGAAGAACCAACATCACAACACTTTCAGCATTTCCATTTATGCTCCTTCCCCATCTTCAGCAGCTTACGAAAAGTCCCAACTCGGATGGTAGCATTAGCAGTCGAACTGTATGTCTGCAGTCAAGTCATCTGCTCCAGCCTGCACTCTGCGATGGCTAACTGGATGAAGAGAAGGACACAAGACTCACCATGCCACTGTCTAAAGAAGCACCACTGCTACCTCTCTTCATCACAGGATCTGTTGTGAACAATGAAAGACAAACAAGATAGTCAACGTTTCTATGCTACACACAGTGCTGATACACATTGCTGATCCATTATAGATTACAGTGCTACACACATTACTGATCCATTACAGATTACAGTGCTACACACATTACTGATCCATTACAGATTACAGTGCTACACACACTTACTGATCCATTTCAGATTACAGTGCTACACACATTACTGATCCATTACAGATTACAGTGCTACACACATTACTGATCCATTACAGATTACAGTGCTACACCCATTACTGATCCATTACAGATTACAGTGCTACACACATTACTGATCCATCACATAATACAGGGCTACACACATTACTGATCCAATACAGATTACAGTGCTACACACATTACTGATCCATTACAAATTACTGTGCTACACACATTACTGATCCGTTACAGATTACTGTGTTACACACATTACTGATCCATTACAGATTACTGTGCTACACATATTACTGATCCATTACAGATTACAGTGCTACACACATTACTGATCCATTACATATTACAGTGCTACATACATTACTGATCCATTATAGATTACAGTGCTACACACATTACTGATCCATTACAGATTACAGTGCTACACACATTACTGATCCGTTTCAGATTACTGGGCTACAAACATTACTGATTCATTACAGATTACAGTGCTACACACATTACTGATTCATTACAGATTACAGTGCTACACACATTACTGATTCATTACAGATTACAGTGCTACACACATTACTGATCCATTACAGATTACAGTGCTACACACATTACTGATCCATTACAGATTACAGTGCTACACACATTACTGATCCATTACAGTACTACACACTTTATTTAATTCAATTAGCTCCTCCTGTTGTGCAATATGTGGCCGTCGAAGATCTCTTGTGTACTTTTGTCCTTTCTGAAACATTTGTGCCCAGTCTGTCACTTGCATTCTTCAATGAATGTCCACTGGTTGACATCCTTCAAATGAAAGAAACTGAATCACCAATCTTTAAGCTACCCTGGATGGATTTCGGATCAATTCGGCCATTTTCTCAATGGTCAGAAACAGAACTTATGCATCGCAGGATGATAAGCACAAACTCTATTATTTACGGGCCAGTACTCATCACAACGTGATCGTGTGTTCAACACACAAAATTATGCAGGTTGCGAGAGAACAGGTTTCAAATGAACGTTTCTAATATATTAAATGATTACCCATTTCTGCTTCTTTTGGCATTTACCAACTGCAAACGCCTGCAAAGGTTCTGGTTGTTCCTCCATTTCTGCATGTTTCAGAACTTGAGTTTTTCGTGTACAAAAGACTAATCAAAAGACCACGTGAATGCTATTTTATATGCCTGTCGACTTGTTTTATTTAGCCTTACTGACTAAGAATGCCATTTTGCAATCAGACCCAAAGTAAGCCTTAACAGAAAAGCCTAAGTGCTGCGATTTAATCCTCCCCCTCCCCCAGGAAGAAATTATATCCTACCTGGGTCTGATTTTGAAAGCAGAAGCTCAGGAATCTCAAGGTCGGGAGATATGCTACCAGTATATTCATCTTCTTCTTCAAGCCCATGCCGTGTGGTGTTAGTCATGCCTATCCACAACCTTCTGCCTTGTGCACTTCAATCAACTCTGACACAAATGATCCTCCAAGTCTTGATGCTAAACTGTCCAGCATCTTTTCTCTCGGTCTCTCCTCCCCTCTAACTTTCCTACCGTCATGATGTACTCCAGTTTTTTCCTTTCTGACAGATAACATAAGTTCACAAACATTTCTCTGCTCGTGTGGCTTCCAAGGCCTCATGTGCAGGAAGCTGTTTTTATATCCAACCCCCCACCACCCTATTTTTTCAAAAAAGTTAATTGCGTATCCTTTACAGAACCAACCCCAGCATTTTTTTGGCTGTTGTGTTTTTTTTGGGGGCAAACCTACATGGCAGGTTTCCGCAAAGCTTAGTTGTCAGGTCTATCTTGTGTGGCTACACGTTGATTCACAGCTTCTCTAAGAAAAAGCAGTTTTGCAAGACAGGTTCTGGAGTCAGTTCAGCATGAAGACTCTGGCAGAGGTTTGTGTTAATCAATCAGGTGCCATCTTCACAATGAATGTTGGCTACAATGGATCTCCAACATGCTGTCTCTTGCTTTGGTTGTACACTCACTCAGACTGCTGTCTGTCTCTTGATGCTATCCTTCCTCTTGTATCACTATCTACCTCTTGCCTTCGACCTTTCTCTCCAGCACAGTTTTTAAAAGAGTATTTTGTCTTCTAATGTGGCCAAAATATATTAACTATTATTTTTTAAAAACCATTTTTTAATAATTCTTTTGTTGTTGTTGTTCACAGCCTTTCCACAGCCTCTTAGTGATGGGACTTTGTGGCTATCTAATTTGATTGAGTATTTTTTGAGTCTGCAATATCCTGAAAGAGAAAGATTGTGGCTTGGTCTCTTTAATTTAGATGTCAGAAGTCTTCTTCTTCTTCTTCTATCCTTCTGTCAAAAAACTTATATCAGGAGGAAGCCGGTAGCCTTTATGAAAGTTATCATGCAATCCATATCCTCTCGTGTACCATACAGTTTGGTCTTCATTGTGGTTGGAACAGGCCAGATTGCGTCTCTGTTGTCAGCATTCAGTTGACAGTGTTGGAGCACATGCTCAGCATTTTCGGGTGCCACGCTGCAGGGACACGTCTCCGTATTTCCTACACCGAAAAATTTGAACATATATTGACGAAATCTGTTGTAAATGTCAGAAGTGATACCATGGCCTGCCTCTGGCAGTGCAGGACGCCACAGGGTCATAAGTAGCTAAGGGAAAGCCTCTCCTGCATGTCATCAACATGAAATATATTGACCAGATAAAAAGTGATCAGTTAACAGATGGCAGTGTGTGTGAGGACCAAGCAGGAGGAACTATCTTTTGCGTTCCATAAATGAGGATGTTTTCCCATGCACAAATAAATATATGTAGTTTTTGGTGCAGAAGTGTACAGATACATGTTCTGGTGCAGAAGTGTGCAGATACATGTTCTGGTGCAGAAGTGTGCAGATACATGTTCTGGTGCAGAAGTGTGCAGATACATGTTCTGGTGCAGAAGTGTGTGCAGATACATGTTCTGGTGCAAAATATGGTGAGCTGTATTTCTGAAGCACATGCAGACTTAAGCTGGATCAATAATTCAAGTGTTGATCAAATTCAATCACACTACATCGGCTTTTTCCACCCTCTATCCCCCAATAGAGCACAGCCCCTCAACCAACTCATGCCAAGTTGTCCCATTCAATGCTGTTGCATGCAGCTCACTCCATGCCCTCCAGATCTGTTTAACTATATTCTCTAGCTCTCTTCTTCATGTTTTATTTTTTTTTCCTATGCCCCTGCGGGTTCCAGTGCAAAGACATTTTAGTGATATTGTTGTCAGATTTGTCTCATCATGTGTCCTATTTCAACTCCAGCACATTGTCTTCACCTCCAGATTTACTGGAATTTGTATTGCCTTTCCAAAGCTCATCATTAGTGATAGTATGGCAGTATGAAAGAATCAATGGGAGATCTAGATGAATTGCAAACCTCTGCACAAGCAGGCAGATCAACAAGTAAACTGGCAGGCAGATAGGAAAACAGACAAGTAGACAGAGATTCCAGCTAGGATGCCAGCCAACTATCTGATGGGGGTGTCTACACAGCATGCATACCTGAACTGAGGTCAGTGAGTGAGTTACAAAATGGGACCTTCTTCAGGTTACATTCCGGTGCAGACAGGCGATTTTGTGGATTTTCTGAAGATTTAGCAAGGTCATACGCTAGCATGTGGGAGTCATCACTTGCATAACGCTTGTCCATTGTGTTGTGTGTGGTGCGATGTCGTGCCATTTCCTCTTCTATTCTCAATTGTTCCATTCCATTTGTCTGCAAGATAAAATAAACATTAGCAGATTAGAAAGTCTTTCTCTTGGAAACCACAAGACAAAAATGGCGACAACAAACTCTCATGGAAAAGAGTAATCTGGAGAAAAAAAAATGAAGGTACTATATGAAATAGCAAATATTCATCTTCTCCTTATTAGCACTCACTGGCTGTAAACTCCACTAGAAAGTTCTGGTTGTTATTCCAAATCTGGCCTTAAGTCTTGTTGCTGAACTTGAATTGTGTGTGTGCACACCTGTTTTACCTATCTTGCTGGCTTGTATGTAGGCTGTTGGTTCTTTTTATTAGCAGATGCATTTAGACTTTGAAAGAATACCACAATCAGTCACCTTTTATAACATGCTTGTTGGGGGGGGGGGGGGGGGACGATATGGGGGTGACTGCAGTCAAGCTAATACAAGGAATTCCAGAGAAATTTGACTAAAAAGCTCAACAAAATGGGGAAGCAGAAAAACGGGCACAAAACAACACAACGTAACGTTTCGATCGGGCGGCCTTTTTCAAACATAAGTGAACTATACAAACATAACAACGAGGAGATGAGAGTATGTAGATCTTTAAGGGGTGACATGAGCAACGTTTAAAAAAAATGTGGTGTGGGATAAAGGAATTAAAATAAAAAAAACAATAGCTAAAAAATACAGTCAAAAAAAAAATAATAAACAGTAGTATATACTACTGTTTTTTTGTTTTTTGTGACTGTATTTTTTAGCTATTGTTTGTTTTATTTTAATTCATTTATTCCGCACCACATTTTTGCCCCAAAATGGGACCCTGAGGAACCCTTAGGGGAGAGAGCAAATGATAATAAGAGTGACTAATAACCAAGACTAATAGATAACCAAGACTGACTGATAACAAAGTTAGGAAACAAAGTTAAAAGTTAAAGTCAAGAGGAATGACTTCATTGCAAAGGATTTGATCCCACTCAGCTCCATCTCTCTCCCCAAAACGACTATCAGACGGTTACTGGTACCATCGGAATTGGAACTCTTCGCTTGCTGCCAACGATGGGGAATGAGCACTTATGGAAGTTCCCCAGTGCTGTGAAGTCGATTCCTAATTCAACAGAAAGACTAACGAGCATCCTATAAAGTACAAACACTATAGCTCCAGTGATGATCTCCAGGGTCTCTTTAAAAATGCACTCCTGCACTGAACGACTCAGCAGTGAAAAACAAACCCACGACCTTCAGAGCGCAAGGCAAATGGCTTGACCTTAAAAGACTACAATCATACCATAGACAACTAAAAGAAAAACACAAAAAAGGAAACTATGGCATTAAACATGGTACAAAGAACTCGTCTTTATTCCTATCATTCCTTTGATTTCACATTCTTGCCTTTCCTTGAAACTCCTGCAGCTCTTCTCAGGCATTCTAAGGAATTTGAAATAGGGATAGTAAACCATTAAGCAGGGCACAAATAAACAAAACTGAAGATATCACAAAGGATGTGCTCAGCATGCCGAATGTGGTTACACTTTTTTGTTTCTTTTTCAAAAACTGAATCAAACTAGATCAAATTACTGGCAGCAACAACAACAGCAGCAGCTACAGAATTGTGAACACAGCCAAGACCCACCTCTAAGATAGATTCCTTGAGGTCATCCACAAACTTCTGCCGGTCGTGGTCATTCCTGGCGTTGAAGATGACCGGTGGTTTACCATCGATGTTGTTGCTCAACTGGATGCCACATTGGTAATCTGACAAAGACAGGTAACACAAACAGGTGTGAACATGTAATAATGCATTCGTAAAGTTACCAACACATAGATTTGTAGCAACTATCAAAAGTAAGGTTACCAACACACAGATTTGTAACAACTATCAATAGTAAAGTTACCAATGCAACTTCAATAGTAAAGTTACCAACACATAGATTTGTAGCAACTATCAAAAGTAAGGTTACCAACACACAGATTTGTAGCAACTATCAATAGTAAAGTTACCAACACACAGATCTGTAGCAACTATCAATAGTAAAGTTACCAACACACAGTAAAGTTACCAACACACAGATATGTAGCAATAGTAAAGTTACCAACAACAGATATCAACTATAGTAAAGTTACCAACACACAGATCTGTAGCAACTATCAATAGTAAAGTTACCAACACACAGATTTGTAGCAACTATCAATAGTAAAGTTACCAACACACAGATCTGTAGCAACTATCAATAGTAAAGTTACCAACACACAGATCTGTAGCAACTATCAAAAATAAAAAAAAAAAGCTACCCCTTAAATGCTTAGTCCCTCCTCCCCCTCTACATAGTATCTACTGCACATAATGTATTATTCATAATATGTAATAAAAGCTTGCAAAAGGAGCCTATTTTATGCCTTTGGCATCTGTTACAATATGTAACAGGGGCGAACCTTAATAAAGCTTTTAACAGGGGACCATTTCACGCCTTTGACATTTGTTACAATATATAATAGAGGTGAACTTAATAAAAGCTTATAAAAGGTGCCATTTCACGCCTGCTTTTAGCATTTGTTACAATATATAATAGAGGTGAACTTAATAAAAGCTTACAAAAGGGTTGCATTTCATGCTTTTAGCATTTGTTCAAGATGTAACAAAAGTAAACTTAATAAAAGCTTACAAAAGCGGGCCCATTTCATGGCTTTGTCACACTTAACATATAGTGCTAGACTCTAATTTTATAGAACAATCTGCATTTGAAAGGTGATGTGCTCAACATTATGCCGGCCACCTTGACTTCCCAGGTATATCCTTGTACCCACGTGATTTGTATGTTTGTGTTTACGAGGTTGTATTTATAATTTTTTTTTTATATATTTGTATACCTATAACTGGGACTGCCCAACTGACACATGACAGTAAACCGATAAATGGGAGTGCCCATCTGACACATGACAGTAAACCGATATATGGGACTGCCCAACTGACACAAGACAGTAAACCGATATATGGGACTGCCCAACTGACACAAGACAGCAAACCGATATATGGGACTGTCCAACTGACACAAGACAGTATACCTATACCTGGGACTGCCAATCTGACACATGACAGTAAACCGATATATGGGAGTGCCCATCTGACACAAGACAGTAAACCGATATATGGGAGTGCCCAAATGACACAAGACAGTAAACCGATATCTGGGACTGCCCAACTGACACATGACAGTAAACCGATACATGGGACTGTCCAACTGACACATGACAGTAAACTGATACATAGGACTGTCCGTCTGACACTTGACAGTAAACCGATACATGGGACTGTCCAACTGACACATGACAGTAAACCAATACCTGGGACTGCTCAACTGACAGCTGACCGTATACAGATACCTGGGACTGCCCATCTGACACCTGACCGTATACAGATACTTGGGACTGCCCAACTGACACCTGACAGTGTACCTATACATGGGACTGCCCAATTGACACCTGACAGTATGTCCTATATCTGGGACTGCCCAACTGACACCTGACAGTACACAGAGACCTGGGACTGCCCACATGACACAGATGTATGCTGTGAGCCCAGGTCACAGAGTGTGTAGCCTACACAGTAGAAGCACACTTCACAAGTTAACACCGTACATCGGAGTATATGTGATTATGCGCACAGAAATATCAGCGCAAGAAAACCTATTTAGATACCACAAGGCAGAGCATGATACAGATTCCTTATGTTTACAGTTATCTCTCACTCTCTCTCTCTCTCTCTCTCTCTCTCTCTCTCTCTCTCTCTCTCTCTCTCTCTCTCTCTCTCTCTCTCTCTCTGAAAAGTTGTTTTCTCTCCTGAATTGCAGTCTGTATTATGATTAACATCTCAAGAGTGAAAATTAAACAGCTACACATCCAGGAAAGCTCCTGTAACAGTACAGCCATACAGCACACATACTGGAGCATCACACAAATGGTTTCTGTAGTTCAGTGTGGCTGGGTTGTTGTTCTGACAGTTCCTTCGATATCACCTCAAAAAAATGTAGAACTAACCAAGGAAGGGGGGGGGGGGGATGGAGAAAAAAAGACACACACACACACAGAGAGAGAGAGAAGGGGGGGGAGGAGAGAGAGAGGGCCCTACCTGCTCCCTTGATCATATAAACTACATCCAGTAAAGGGGAACATAACTATACGTGAACCGTGGAAACATATCTCCTTTTACCAACACACCCAATGACCCCCCTCCCCCGACTCTTCATGCTGAGAGTAGCTGTTAAATGGCTGTATATTTAGCAACTTCTATTTCAAGAATGTCAAACCAGATACATTTGCTTGGCGCATTTATATCATAGAAATAAAATGTAGTGACTATCTTGTGTGTAAGATCTATGCTGTTCTCATCAAGTGCCTTGCCTGCTGGCGTAGGCGTTTATGCATCTCCGCAGATCTCGGTTTCTGGTGTTCTGGATCAATTATACTGATGAATTTCCACCATACCACTGTCTTAAGCTATCAAACATCATTTCTCTTGGTCTGCCTCTGCCTCTTCTACCAGTGATCTTTCCAGTGGTTACGATAGTCTCCAGTGCTCCTTCTCTCATCACATGACCAAAAAACTTTGTCTCCTTCTCATTATTGTATTTAATGGTCTCTCCCTTCGCATTAAACCCCACCCTGCCCGGACTTCAGGTTACCTTCTAACCGTCGGGGACCCTAATATAACTTTACGACTGAACGAGCGCTCTGTCCCCATCTTCAGCAGCAAGCGGAGTTTCAATTCAGATGGTAGCAGTAACTATCTCACTGTACTTCCGTCTGCCTTTTCTTTGAGTTTTGGCACCAAGAGCTTTGCTATTCTTCTTCTTCTTAATTTTCTTCTTCTTCTTCTTCTTCTTCATGTTCTTCTTCTTCTTCTTCTTCACGTTGACCTGCTATAAATCCGGCGGAAAGTTCTGACTCTTAATCCACATCTGGACTTTGTTCTTGTTCCATAAATTAAGTTTATCATTTGTATCTGCTTGACAAGAGGCAAAAGAAGTGCTTGGGGCTTTTTAGCAAAAGTTAATGGTCGACGTTTGGTGCAGGAGAGCCTAGCATATGATACCACAACATCCAGCTTAAGAATGGAGGTGGAGGCGGTCACTGCAGCTTTCCGCTGGCTAGAGAACACGACGCACACACATTGTAAATGTAACTGATTCAGAAAGCATGCCGAGGAAGATCAGAATAGGTATGCTTCGTGCAGAGTGGCATGCTTCGCTGCGGAGGACACGAGTGAGGAGTACTGTCTGGATTTTTTCACCGGGTTACGCCGGTGTGTTGGGAAATAAACAGGCGGACAGAATGGCTGGCTCTGCACAACATGGTGGAATACTGCTACATGATAGGGCAGACGTGGTTAGTGCCTTGTGGGAGAGCGTGTACAATGCGGAGGAGCAGATGGATCACCAGTCTGGTGAGATTGATGCAGTTGGGGGTGACGAGAGGTTCTGGCAGAAGCTCAAGGCTCAGAGGAAAGGCAAGACGGACGTTTAATCAGAAAGCTACTGGCACCATTAGTATCGGAACTCTTCGATGGCTGCTGAAGATGGGGACCGAGCGCTTACGGGAATGCCCCGAGTGCTGTGATGTCGGTTCTTGAATCAAATCAAATCAAATCTGCTTTACAGATCTGGCATATCTGCATGCAGACTGTTGGTCCTCGCCTCTCTGGTAAATGCATTCCGATGTCAAAGCAACCAACCCTAATTAGTCGCCTTTTACGATGCTTGGGGGCATTGGGTCCTCCCCCCTTTCCAGCCCCATTTGGGAGCCCGGAACACACTCGAGGAACATACAATACTTTGCATTACTCCTGGACTCTGGTTGCGTAACAGCGAAAAATGGTGCTTTATTAATATTCTACCCCAAACAGGGGAAATCCCCAGGTCACGGGACAGTCTAATATTTTAGTGGGTGTTAGACGGGTTGTACGCAGTCGTGGAACCTAGGCTGCATTCTTTCGTGGGACATAGGTGGGTTGGTGTTAGGGCCAGTTCTAGATGTTTTGGGGTCGTTAAAAACATATCAAAAGTCAGGAAACCCAGTCTAGCACCCTCTAAAATGTTAGACTGTCCCGTGGTAGGGTATCAATAAAGCATCGCAAAAAACTTGTAAGTGCACGAAAAAAATGATGTACATGCTAGTTAGTTAGTTAGTTGGGTTATCCTCATTGCACTCCGGACATGTCCATAGGTGCTCAGATCCTCCCCTCAGTATGAACCCCAACGTCCGATGGCTAATAGTACCAGTTCTATGTTGATTCAAAATTCTTCTGGCGTGTCTGGTGTGCGTCTCGTTTTTTGCTGTGCCGATCTTAATTCCCAAGTCTGCCATTCTGGCGAGTGATGTGGATTCACTGCTACCAAAGTCCTCTATCCTTCCCATTTCTCTGAGGGCATTGATAATATCAGCATGATCTATAGGCTGACCGTCGGTAGTGATAGCGGATCCAGCCAACCTGTCAGCTCTTTCATTTCCATCGACGCCTGCGTATCACGGAACAAAAATAAAGGTGACTCCACGCACAGTGGACTTCTGTAATGATTCAAGCCATTGTCTTCGCACTGAACCTGCCTGAACCCTTGTACATGCATGTACAAGCACCTTATCTGACAAATTCTCTCCCCGTGTAACAAGAAAAACAGATGACCAACAACAACAAGCCGGGAGGAGGTGAGATCATCAACAGGCGCCACACAGACATGATGGCCTTGAACTTGCTACGCTTGGCAACCAGGGCTGTCGAAGTTGGTAATTACGTACAAATCTGGTACTATTTTGACCCTCCTAAAGCAAAACTGTACTTTTAGTACCACGTCCTTTGTTTCTGGTACGTTTAAGAAATTTTACATCAAACTGTAAAAATTCGGGCACTGGGTTGAACCGTTTAAAAAAAAAAGGTGATTAGGAGTGTAGTGACAATAATGGTGAAACAACTGTGGTTGCAAACATAATTGTGATACAATTGTTGATGCAAATATACCACTTGTGACTGGTCAAGTGCATTTTTGTTTCAGTTTCAAGGGCCAGTTTAGGAGTATGTGTCCAGCAACTGGCAGATGGTTCTTTTTCATGTCTATTGTCGCAGTTTAACATTCCAGTTTATCTGATGATGCTCAAGCATTGTTTGTTTGTTTTATTTAGAAACAGTTCGCAACATTTTGTTAATAATTGTTACTGATTCCCCCCCCCCCCCCCCCGCAAATTGTGGTTCGAGTTTAAGTTTCCAATATGACAGTACACACACATAAGCTCATACATGACGATTATCCACATCAACTGCTTTCTAACTGATTGCAAAAATGTTAAAGCAAAGATATAACAGAAAACAAAACACACACACACACACAAACATATATATATATATATATATATATATATATATATATATATATATATATATATATATATATATATATAATATATATATATATATGCCTGAACATTTTAAAATTAAAAGTATGGTCCCTTTAAGTGTTTTGGTACGTTCTCAAAAACATTTAGTACAATCCCTCTAAAAATGTCGGCAGCCCTGTTGACAACAGCGGTGGCTGCAGGTATACAGATAGTATCGCTGTACAGGCATCGCTCACGTCTGCACCCAAACAAGCGTTACTATTTTTCTGCCAACAATAATGTTGTGCGCTCTCTCTCTCTCTCTCTCTCTCTCTGTCCCTCGCCCATACTCACTAAGCCTGCTGGGGAGGAAACCTGTCTAGCCGTCAGCTATTTGTCCTCGATCATCGTCTCTTTTATTATGTCTGTTAACTTTTACTAGTAGTCTGTTACTGTGCAATGGATTCTGTCCCCGAGTAAGGCAAGCCTGCAGTATTGTAATGATTATACCTGCAGTGATGTGTTGAAAAGTTAAAGTTCGAAGGATCGAATTCACTGCACCGGGCGTTATCCCACATGACTCGCTCTCTGTACATAGAAAAGCTTGCTGCCTGCCGAAATCATGAGCTCCGCAGCTCCAGTCAACACCCACAAGGATCTCCGTAAACACTGCAGTGAAACAAGGTACAGAACGCAGCCTGGACAAACAGCGTACACACGACACTGATGACTGGGTACTCACGTGATGTTTCGAAGAGATAGACCTGCATGCCACACAGAGACAAGGAGGAGCGGAACGAGTAGGTGATGCCTGTTTTTTTCTTGCTGAAGATTTTGGTGATCTGCAAATTAAGAGATGGCGGTGTTTAACTAGCTCTTAAACAAACTATAGCCACGCCATGTTTTAAACAGGGGTGAAGGGTTAACGGCGAAAAAAAAAGGGCGGGGAGAGGGGGTTACTTTGATAAGAATTTTTCAGTGTGGATCCCGGGACTCGTTTTGGGGATAAATAATAGACCCACACAAGAACAGACTCACTGCTTCTATCAAACGTCATAAGAGGCAACTAATTGGGGATTTTTACTTTAAAGGTGAAGCGCATCTGCCTGTGAGTCAGGGAACCAGCAGTCTGCATACAAATAAGCAAATCCGTGGGCACGCTAAATTCTAATTTAATTCCATAACAAGACTAAAGTTCTGAAGTGGATGAACAATCAGAATTTTTCACGGAAGTGTATGTGAAGAAGAAAAAGACGAACAAAAAGGAAGAAAAGGACAAAGAAGAAGAGGTAGAAGAATAAGACAAAGATAACGACAACGAAGAAGAAGACGACAATGAAGAAGAAGCAGAAGAAGAAGAAGAAATGTCTGGCCTGGACTTGATGACACCACTCGTGTCCAGCAGAAGGCCAGTACCCGCCTTGCTCTCCAGATTATGTTTGCATCCAATGTGACCTGTGTTACGGTAGTAGACAAACACTGAGGACATCTATGGCTAGAACTCACCAGCAGAAGATCATTGAAAAGGAAGACCTCTCGCTGGTGCAGGCCAATCTTCTCCTTCTTGTTGGGGTCGTGAACCTCATACAGACGGCAGTAGCACACCAGGCGGCGGTGGGGTAGACTGAGGATCTGGAAGAAGATCGGAAAATGCTATAGAAACCATACAACACAGCATGACACACCTAGTCCACACAACACATCATGGCACATATAGTCCAAATCTTGTCAACACAACACACCCTGATACATCTTGTCAACACAACACAGCCTGATATACCTAGTCCAAACCACACATCATGATGCATCTAGTTGTAGTCTAGTATCAACAGGATGTCTCATAGTAGATCAAACACATGACGTCCATAATGGAAGGCAACCGTAGATACATTATTTGATACAATGCCATGAATGTATACTGGCAGCTGCCTTGTTCTAGCGGCTAGACACTCGCATGCGGATCGGAAGGTCGTGGGTTCGGTTCCTGACGAGGGCCGGATAAAAAAAAATGACCTTGGCTTCCAGGTCGACACAGCCTTGAGTGGGTACTAGGTACAGTCCTGTGAAGTAAAGGCGGCCGGCGTGATGCTGACCGGCTGTGATGCTGTGGTCAGTGCTGTTTGGTTTATAAAATATACTTTTAGCCCTAAATACCCAATACGCCTGAAATTCGTGGAAAAGGGTCCTGTAATTTTTGGTATTTTTATAATTGTATAATTTGCCAATAAAAATACAAATTTTCTTTTCTTTTTCATGGACGAACAACCAGAACGTTCCGCTGGAGTTTACAGCAAGCGAAAGCAGCAGAAGAAGAAGAAGAAGAAGAAGAAGAAGAAGAAGAAGAAGAAGAAGAAGAAGGAAAGAAGAGAAGAGAGAAGAAGAAGAAGAAGAAGGAAGAAGAAGAAGAAGAAGAAGAAGAAGAAGAAGAAGAAGAAGAAGAAAGAAGAAGAAGAAGAAGAAGAAGAAGAAGAAGAAGAAAGAAGAAGAAGAAGAAGAAGAAGAAGAAGAAGAAGAAGAAGAAGAAGAAAGAAGAAGAAGAAGAAAGAAGAAGAAGAGAAGAAGAAGAAGAAGAAGAAGAGAAGAAGAAGAAGAAGAAGAAGAAGAACAAGAAAGAAGAAGAAGAAGAAGAACAAGAAAGAAGAAGAAGAAGAAGAACAAGAAAGAAGAAGAAGAAGAAGAACAAGAAAGAAGAAGAAGAAGAAGAACAAGAAAGAAGAAGAAGAAGAAGAACAAGAAAGAAGAAGAAGAAGAAGAAGAAGAAGAAGAAGAAGAGAAGAAGAAGAAGAAGAAGAGAAGAAGAAGAAGAAGAAGAAGAAGAAGAAGAAGAAGAAGAAGAAGAAGAAGAAGAAGAAGAAGAAGAGAAGAAGAAGAAGAAGAAGAAGAAGAAGAAGAAGAAGAAGAAGAAGAAGAAAAACAGAAGAATAGTGGTCCCCTCTGATTTATGCGTCTTTTCTTGACATAAGTCGATACCTGGCAAATTGTTTCTCAAAAATCAATCACCTCAAGAGAGTTTCCTCATTAACTTATGTATATTTTTTTTTAAATCTATAAACCACGAGAGAGTAACCCTTTGGCTCGGTACTATGGACATCGCAACCCTTCGGCCTTGATTCCAGTTAGATACCGTAAATCTGGGGAAAATGTGCCTACCCCCGGGCTTGAACCCAGACCACAAGGAGTTCGTCAACCGGTCGCCCCGAAGTCAGGTTTAACCAACTACGCTAACGGGTCGGACCAATAACTGATATAAAACTACTGGCAGTAGTCATTCACTTTTTAAGAACGTGGCACATCTGCTGAGAATCTGCGAGGGCGCGGTCTCTTGAGAGCATCATAGTGAACTCAGGCAGCAACACAACGGTGTGAACGTGTGGTATAGTTTAGCCTCTCTCCGTGGACCCGCTACTTGTCACTGAGCGATCATGATTCCCAAACAGACGTAGGCTTGTAGACATTTCAAAGATCACTTGTTTCATCTAAGGTTGCTTGGCATCTCTGTGATGCATTGCTGACGATCACATTCTGCGGCATCATTTGTTGACCAGACGATGAACACTGGTTGTCTTGTGGGAACCGGAAGAAATACGTGCCCTTTTGAAACGGTTACAGGTGAGGAAAGTAGGCCACTAAACAGGATGTAGTACATGTCGAGATGATGCGTATCATGCCCAGTTGATGTGTAGCATGCCCAGTTGATGTGTAGCATGCCTGGTTGATGTAATACATGTCGAGGTGATGCGTAGTATGCCCAGTTGATGGGTAGCATGCCCAGTTGATGTGTAGCATGCCCAGTTGATGGGTAGCAAGCCCAGTTGATGTGTTTCATGCCCAGTTGATGTGTAGCATGCCCAGTTGATGTGTAGCATGCCCAGTTGATGGGTAGCAAGCCCAGTTGATGTGTTTCATGCCCAGTTGATGTGTTTCATGACCAGTTGATGTTAGATGCCCAGTTGATGTGTAGCATGACCAGTTGATGTGTAGCATGTCCAGTTGATGTGTAACATGCCCAGTTGATGTGTAGCATGCCCAGTTGATGTGTAACATGCCCAGTTGATGTGTAACATGCCCAGTTGATGTGTAACATGCCCAGTTGATGTGTTGCATGCCCAGTTGATGTGATACATGTCGAGATGATGCGTAGTATGCCCAGTTGATGTGTAGCATGCCTAGTAGATGTGTAGTATGACCAGTTGATGTGTAGCACGCCCAGTCGATGTGTAGCACGCCCAGTCGATGTGTAGCATGCCCAGTCGATGTGTAGCATGCCCAGTCGATGTGTAGCATGACCAGTTGATGTGTAGCACGCCCAGTCGATGTGTAGCATGCCTAGTAGATGTGTAGCATACCCAGTTGATGTGTAGCATGCCTGGTTGATGTATAGCATGCCCAGCTGATGTGTAGCATGCCCAGTTGATGTGTAGCAAGCCCAGTTGATGTGATACATGTCGAGATGATGCGTAGCATGCCCAGTTGATGGGTAGCATGCCCAGTTGATGTGTAGCATGCCCAGTTGATGGGTAGCAAGCCCAGTTGATGTGTTTCATGCCCAGTTGATGTGTAGCATGCCCAGTTGATGTGTAGCATGCCCAGTTGATGTGTAGCAAGCCCAGTTGATGGGTAGCAAGCCCAGTTGATGTGTTTCATGCCCAGTTGATGTGTTTCATGACCAGTTGATGTGTAGCATGACCAGTTGATGTGTAGCATGTCCAGTTGATGTGTAACATGCCCAGTTGATGTGTAGCATGCCCAGTTGATGTGTAGCATGCCCAGTTGATGTGTAACATGCCCAGTTGATGTGTAACATGCCCAGTTGATGTGTAACATGCCCAGTTGATGTGTTGCATGCCCAGTTGATGTGATACATGTCGAGATTATGCGTAGTATGCCCAGTTGATGTGTAGCATGCCTAGTAGATGTGTAGTATGACCAGTTGATGTGTAGCACGCCCAGTCGATGTGTAGCATGACCAGTTGATGTGTAGCACGCCCAGTCGATGTGTAGCATGCCCAGTTGATTTGTGGAAGGCCCAGTCGATGTGTAGCATGACCAGTTGATGAGTAGCATGCCCGGTTGATGTGTAGCACGCCCAGTCGATGTGTAGCATGCCCAGTTGATGTGTAGCAAGTCCTGTCGATGTGTAGAATGCCCAGTCGATGTGTAGCATGCCCAGTCAGTATAAGCTGTGTCAAATAATCAGAGATGACCCGCCTTAGACAGTCTGGTCCTCTGGTGAGCTTGCAGCTTGAAATTTATTTACCGAACTGCCACTAAGAAGCTTTAACAACTGGGAGAAGGGGAACAACGTAACCATACAAGACTAATCGGACGTTTTAGCCAGAGCCTTTCTCAACAAAACACAACAAAGGGAAAGTATCATAGCCTGCAGTAACTCCAATTTTCATCACTTTTTAATTTTCTTCTTTTTTTTTCTTCTTCTTATATTTGGACCTTTCAGCCGACAAATCTGACTTCTGTAGGCGGAAGGAGACCGAGAGAAGAGATGCTGGGCAGTTTCACATCATGACATGGACGATCATTTGTGTCAGAGCTGACTGAGAGTACAAAAGCAGAAGGTTGTGGATAGACATGACAACCAAAGCCACACGGCATGGACTTTAAGACAAAGAAGAGACACACACACACATATATGTTTGCACTGTGTGTGTGTGTGTGTACGTGAGATTATATGTGTATGTATCTAAATGTTTAGATATACATTTACATACATATATAAGAACATATTCATTCATTCATTTATTCATTCAGTAGCATGTCCTTCGCGGAACCTCGCTGCCATAACAACCCTCCGGAAAACCTTCCTATCATGAGCAAGATGTCCTGCGTCTGATACACCCATGTATGAGATCATCTGCCCACATCCTGCACCCATCTCTCCTTGGCCTTCCTCTTCCTCTCTTCCCAGGCATATACCCCTCCATTATTGTTCTCTCTAGACTTTCATGACATTTCAAGTGACCAAAATATTTCAATTTTCTTTGTTTTATTGTCTTTACTAGCCAACCCTCTTCAATATTCAGCTCTTGAAGTATGGATGCATTTGTTCTTTTCTTTACCCAAGATATTCTTAGAACCTGTCTGTAACATTTATATTCAAATGCATTTATGCGCTGTTCCGCTTGTGTAGTAAGTGTCCAGGTCTCACAGGCGTATGTTGCAATGGGAAAGATGCATGCTCTTAAAAATCTGACCTTTGTAATTCTATCTGTACAATTCCATAATTTATTCAGTTGTTTTAGTCTTTGAAGAGCAATTGATAGTCGCCGTTTAATTTCTTTCATTGTGTCACCATTGTTGGTAACCAGTGACCCCCATATTCGAAATTTTTCCCACCACTTCCAATCTTTCCTCATTAACATATATTTCCTTCTCCATTGCAGTTTTGTTTGTATGCATTATCTTTGTTTTTGCTATGTTAAGAAATAAGTTATGATTTTCACTATTTCTTTGGAGTGAGGTTAATAAGTTTTCTAACCATTTTGTGATGTTGATAGTAATACTGTATCATCAGCATAACGAATTTCTGTGTATTTCATGGACCACCGATGTTTAGGGCAATCATTTTGTTCCTTGTTTATATCATCTCTTACATTTCTCATTATATTTTCGGCGTACAGGTTGAACAAATACGGTGACAGCACACATCCCTGACGGACTCCTTGCTTGATGCCAAACCAGTCTGATGTCTCTCCATCTATTCTGACTGCTGCTTGTTGGTCTTGATAGAGCATTTTAATGAGCTGCACTATATGTGATGGAAAGCCCATATTCCTCAATGATTTCCCAAAGCTTCAATCATGTTGTACACAGTCAAATGCTTTTGAATAATCCACAAAACATAAGAACAGATTTACATTAAATTCTCTACACTTCTCTATTATTAAAACGCATGTTGAATATATGATCTCTTGTTCCTCTTCCCCTGTCTAAATCCAGCCTGAGCTACATTAATCTCTTCTTCCATTTTCTTATGCAGTCTCCTCATTATGTATGTATGTATGTATGTATGTATGTAGTGTGTATGTATGTATGTATGTATGTATGTATGTATGTATGTATGTATTGTATGTATGTATGTATGTATGTATGTATGTAGACAGTATGTATGTATGTATGTATGTATGTATGTATGTATGTATGTATGTATGTATGTATGTATGTATGTATGTATGTATGTATGTATGTATGTATGTATGTATGTATGTATGTATGTATGTATGTATGTATGTATGTATGTATGTGTATGTATGTATGTATGTATGTATGTATGTATGTATGTATGTATGTATGTATGTATGTATGTATGTATGTATGTATCGTATGGTATGTATGTATGTATGTATATGTATGTATGTATGTAAACTATTCATGTATGTATGTATGTATGTATGTATGTATGTATGTATGTATGTATGTATGTATGTATGTATGTATGTATGTATGTATGTATGTATGTATGTATGTATGTATGTATGTATGTATGTATGTACCATGTATGTATGTATGTAGTATGTATGTATGTATGTATGTATGTATGTATGCATGTGTGTGTGTACATGCATGTGTGTATGCATGTGTGTATGCATGTGTGTATGCATGTGTGTATGCATGTATGTATGCATGTATGTATGTACTAACACACATGTTTGTGTGTATATGTATGTTGGTATGTCTATACAGATATATGTATACACACACATAACTGTGTGTCTGTGTGTAATCTGCCCCAGCTTGCGACCAACCCTTAAATGAGACAGCAGTGTGCTGCCCTCCACACCGACCAGTGTGCTGCCCCATACCGACCAGTGTGCTGCCCCATACCGACCAGTGTGCTGCCCCATACTGACCAGTGTGCTGCCCCACACCGACCAGTGTGCTGCCCCATACCGACCAGTGTGCTGTCCCATACCGACCAGTGTGCTGCCCAACACCGACCAGTGGTGCTGCCCCACACCGACCACCAGCTGCACCATACCGACCAGTGACAGCTGCCCCATACCGACCAGTGTGCGCCCACGTACCGACCAGTAGCTGCCCCATACCGACCAGTGTGCTGCCCCATACCGACCAGTGTGCTGCACCACACCGACAGTTGTGCTGCAACATCACGACCAAGTACTTGTCACAAAACAAATCTACAGATGAGCACTTAAAGCTCTAGCCGCGAGCAGATCCCGGCTTGTACTGTTGGGACAATCACGCAGGAAACACACTACCCTCTCTACACGGATATCAGATGACTGCACACACGGCTTGATGAAGTGCACTTTTACACACTGTAACAGATAACGGACAACGTCTAATCTTTTTCTTCTTCTTCTTCGCGTTCACCAGCTGTAAACTCCGGTGGAAAGTTATGTTTGTTCGTCCACTTCTGGACTGCACTCCTATTCCAGAACCTGAGTGTTGCGTGTGCATCCGTTTGACATATCTGAATAATCTGTATGCAGACTGTTGGTTCCTTGCCTCTTAGACAGATGCACTCCGACTTCAAAGAAAGCTCCTAATTAGTCGACTCTTACGACATGCTTTTGGGTAAGCAGTGGGTTTATTCTTGTTTTTCCTATAATAGGGCCCCGGAACCCACAAGTGGAACTTCTTATCTGCCTTGTATTCTATGGAAAACTGACACAGTTGTCAATTTCTGATCTTGCATACTCATATGGTGGGTTCGGGACACATATCTAGTACACAACGCGTGAAACTATTTACAAACTGCATAAAAAAGAGATCCACCAATCTTTCTCAGACAATAAGCTGCGCCTCTCACCCTCACAACAAGAGAGACAGATCTCCAGACAACACACTACACACCACACGTACACAACAATAGAGACTGATGCCCAGACAACACACTACACACCACAAGGACACATCAAGAGAGACAGATCTCCAGACAACACACTACACGTACACAACAATAGAGACTGATGCCCAGACAACACACTACACACCACACGTACACAACAATAGAGACAGATCTCCAGACAACACACCACACGTACACAACAATAGAGACTGATGCCCAGACAACACACTACACATCACACATACACAACAATAGAGACTGATGTCCAGACAACACACTACACACCACACGTACACAACAATAGAGACTGATGCCCAGACAACAAGTCACCCATCACACATACACAACAACAGAGACTGAATGTACTCACCGGTTTCTTGCCAATGATTGTCTGCTCCACCTTCATGACCTGTGTGACCTGATCGACCCCATTCTTGAACTCCTGTGATTTCACCCTCTCGTAGATGCCAGTCAAAAGGTCACGGTCGATGTCCTCACCGTCATCAATTCCTGAATGAGAACAGTGAATGTGGTTACTGAGGTTTGTTTTAGTATCCAGAAGCCATGAGTTGTTAACCCTTAGGCTCGGTATTATGGACATCGCAACCTTTCGGCCTTGATCCCATTGTAAATACCGTAAATCTGGGAGAAATGTGGCTTTTCTGCCTACCCCCGGGAGTGAACCCTGACCACAAGGAGTTCGTCACCCGGTCACCGCGTAATCCGATTTAGCCAACTACGCTAGCGAGCCGGGCGGTTACTGAGGTTTAAACAACGGATCAACATCACGGCACAAGGGTACTAACCCAAATGTGCTCCGTTCTTCTTCCAACTCAAGTCTTGAGTCCGAAGTAGCTCAGTACAGTGCACAGGCTCTGTAACACCGGCGAGGATCCTGAAATACTTTAGGTAGATTTTTAACTCCAAATGTTGTCCGGGCAGCGCCGTTAGGCTACTCTTTTCGATTCCCAACTGCCAAGGGATTTTTTACGTGCGCAACAATGCACACGGGCGTCCGATCTCACTACCCAGAGACCAGGAGGAATTACTAGAAGTCGAAGTCCACATGAAAAAATGCCAGCCCTCACCGGGGATTGAACCCGGAACCTCTAGCACTCGAAGCAGGCACATGCCTCGAGACCACGCAGCCCCCAGGTTCTAGCAAGAAGACAGAATCAGCAATGATATATTACCGCTAGGTCCCGACGACAGGATAATGACCCGACACCCGGTCGTTCGTTATCGCAACACGACTAGACGCACATACCGGTGAGTTCTCACCTCTTGCTGGCTCTTCGTTATCATGCTCTCTAATCGTTGCACTTACTAAAAATATATACCCAGATAGAAGAGACGATAACGGGTTAGAGAAGTCCCACGGTAGATTTTTGTTATTTCACGGACTCGGCGAATTTAGGTCGAGTGACGTGGTCTCAGTCCAAATTAGACAAGTTAGACTTGGTGGCCAACAGTGTGTGTCTGCGGGAAAGAGGTAGTGATGGTAGGGGGAGGAGAGAGAGAGAGAGAGAGAGAGAGAGAGAGAGAGAGAGAGAGAGAGAGAGAGAGAGAGAGAGAGAGAGAGAGAGAGAGAGAGATGTGACAGATAGGCCTGCGGAAATGTGCTATCGGCTGATCCCGGCAACGACTGTGGGAAAGTATATTTGACACTTCCCCTCACAAAGATTACTATTTTGTCGTTTTTAGCGCCATCAGGGCTACTAATACTGGTCCCCCCCCCCCCACCACCTTACCCCAAGATCTGGTTGTTTTTTTTGTGACGCCTTGGATTCAGATTTTATAATAATTCTTTTTTTTTTAATCTTTCTTTTTTAAATATATTCTTATACAAAAGTGGTTAAATGTAACTACACAATGTTTACTGTTTATTATTCATAGGTTTTTGTGTTTTGTTCTTTGCTTATACACTGATGCGTTTTTTCCCCAGCCTAGCTTGGGATTTGAACCCTGAGCGCCAGAGACATATTCAAGCGACAAATATTTAAACAGGCTGGCGAAGACGGACACCTGATCGATCGGCGTGTCCGCTCTGAGCTGCTACTTAAAGGTTGACAGCGCCATCCCGGGATAAAAACAAATCTTCCAAAAAACAATCGGCACTCTGTGGGTGACGTGGTCAACATTATTCCGGCCACGTTTACTTCCCAGGACTGTAGCTGATATCCATTTAAGGCTCTGGCAAGACTAGAACCCGCGACCTTCCAACCGCAGGCGAACGTCTAGTAGCTACACCACGGGACCCCCCCCCCCCTCCCCCCCAAACAGAGCTTCTAACGGGGACTAGCTTTTGCTAAAGGGACCGAACTCACAAATGAACTTATTGTACTCGACCTACTGTAACAAAACAAACATCAATTCTCCTCAAACGAAAACCCCCAGCTATATATGTCAACCCACCTCACTTTCAAACAAGAGACTTCAAACTTGCAGTAACCAAACACCCGCCTCCCACGCCTCACATGAGATGTGTTTTCTTGAATGGAAACCGCTTTTCAGTGTTGACATTGTGAACTTTTTGAAATTCTATGCAGGGACTAAAACAACAGTTCACAAATAGTCGTCACATTTCATTGCCTCCAAGGGGATTATCTTTGTTCTCTTATGTGGGACTGCTAGAAAGAATAGCAACAGTGCTCAGTAAAGTATCTGTTACATTAACAGCTTTGAAACACAAGACAGGCAGACGGAGGGGCAGACAAAACGATATGAACTCAGTCTTTTTCTCCCCCCCCCCCTCCCCCCTCAGGGTCCCACTGTGGGGGAAAAACAAGAACAGACCCACTTCCTTCCCAACAAGCATGTCGTAAGAGTAAACTAACTAGTCAATAACTTTGGAGTCGAATGAATCTGCCTGAGAGGCAAGGAACCAAGAGTCTGATACAATTAAGTCAGATCTGTTAAACGGATAGGCGCGCAAAACTCGGGTTCTGGAAGAAGACTAAAGTCCAGAGGTGGACAAACAACCAGAACTTTCCGCCCGAGTTTACAGCCAGTGAACGTGAAGAATAAGAAGAGGAAAAGAAGAAGAAGAACAAGAAGAGAGAAGAAGAAGAAGAAGAAAGAAGAAGAAAGAGAGAAGAAGAAGAAAGAAGAAGAAGGAAGAAGAGAAGAAGACGAAGAAGAAGAAGAAAAAAGAAGAAGAAGAAGAAGAAGAAGAAGAAGAAGAAGAAGAAGAAGAAGAGAAGAAGAAGAAGAAGAAGAAGAAGAAGAAGAAGTCAGCTCCTCCTTGGCTTTCCCGTTAGTGCAAGAGGTTTCTTTTTCTTCTTCTTCGACTACGATGACGGAGACGGCTGCGCCTGATGCAGCTACTGCTGCTACTGCTGCTACTACTACTGCTGCTACTGCTGCTGCTACTACTACTGCTGTTGCTGCTACTGCTGCTGCTGCTGCTACTACTACTGCTGCTGCTACTACTGCTGCTGCTACTACTATTACTGCTGCTACTACTACTGCTGCTACTACTACTGCTGCTGCTGCTGCTACTACTGCTGCTGCTACTACTACTACTTCTTTTTCTTCTTCGGCATTCCCAGTCGATGAGATTCATGGCTACAAAAATCACCGCCTCTATTCATCTATGTGACTAAATTTATCTTCCCAGTTAGGGACTCCCAATATTCGTCGGTCTTGCTGTTTATTATCTCTCATTTCTTATTCCTGGTCTGCTTTGTGGTTTACACCTATTCGACTCTTTTGTGTTCACAGTTTTTGTCTCTTTGTTACCTTCTATTCTCAGTGTCATTGCAATCTATTGGCCCTAATGATAACCCTTATTGTTACACATCTGACACACAACGTTCAACAGATGCAAGTACCTATCTGCCAATGTTTGCTACTTCTTCAAAGGCCTCTGAAACTCTGAGCTCATTTGAGTCACTAGTGAGTGAACACTTTGGTTTTTATCAGTGCCTTCCAAGGAAAACATTACTTTTGTTTTCTTGCTTTATTTATGCATATATACGCGCGGCAC